AAGTGGACCTTCTTCTTCGATGTCGACGAGTACATCTTCCTGCCCGACGGCCGCACGCTCGAGGATGTACTCGCCGACCTTGAACCGTACACGCAGTTCACCATCGAACAGAACCCAATGTCGAGCAAGTTGTGCGTCGATAATCCGGAGGCCGACTATTCCAAGTAGGTGACTCCTTATTTCCCCCAAATCGATCTGAATTTGAATTGCCGAACTATTCCAAGTATGGAATTGCAATGTAGGAGTAGCTTCTTGTGTAGAGTAACACTGGTTGACTAAAAGGCCCAATTGTTTGTGGGTTTGCTTCTAAAGTTGCTGCCTTCTTGCAATGCCACTCTCATAGAAGCAATATAGAAGCGGATTTATGCAATGCAGCTTCATTTTCCCTGTCTAGTTTATGTTTTTCAGATGTCCAGAGAATAGACAAGTCAGATTACATGATTAGGAGTCACCAATTCAGTAATCTACTCACATTTCGATTGGCAATTGCTGCTTACAATGCAATCTTAGTTTCATGAGGCCGTTTTATTGCTCAAAGAAGTGATGGAATTGATTCTTCTTCACCTCAAACTTGTGCAGCCAATGGGGATTTGAGAAGCTGGTTTTCCGGAACTCGATCACTGGGGTGAGGAGAGACAGGAAGTACGCGATTCAGGCCAAGAACGCATACGCCACGGGTGTTCATATGTCTGAGAACGTCATCGGCAACACCACGCACAAGACGGAGCACCTCATCCGATACTACCACTACCACAACACCATCAACGTCCTTGGCGAGGTGTGCCGCGAGTTCGTCTCCATTCCGCCAAAGGGTGGCCTAACATGGTCCGAGAAGACACCCTGGTACTACGACGACAGCATGAAGCGCGTCGCCGATGCTGTGCGTGAGTTCGAGAGGGAGACCATCGGCGATCTGCGGCTATGACTGACCTGACCACAGAGATAAAAGAGCTGATCTCCAAGTACAGTGTGTATTGCTGTGAGCCATTCAGGAGGGGCTTGGCGACTGCATTACTGTCTTCCGGATGTTATGAAGCAGACGTTAACTGTGGTTTGGGGCTATCTGAGCTGACAGAGATGCAACGAAAGCGAAGCTGCAACCTCAAGGGGAAAATGGCAGATTGTGTGCCGGTGATGGCCCTGTGACTCTGATATGCGGCGAAGGTGAGGGTTCTTGTAAACAGATAGTATGTCATCAGTGTAAATTCCATTGTTTTATTGCTCAAATATACACATTGTACTCTCTTCTCGAAGTTTCAGCAATGTAGAAACCATTCAGAACCGTGCTGCATCAATGTAGATATGATTATTTACGGCATTATTTTTAACTTCGTCATTTTATTGGAACCATATGATGGAGAGCCTAAGATGTCAGCTGTTTTTTTTCTTTTTGGCGGCTCATTCTGGAATAAATAGTATTATGTGAGAGAGAATAAGGTGAAACAAGCTGGAACATGACCAGCCGAACAAGGTGAATAATCTGGAGTAGTAGAGGCCTAGATGGTTTTGGAATTCTTGGGGCCATAAAGGCTTGCAGCTAGGAGAGCCTAGAAATGCAGAGAGAAAAAGAAAAGTAGGGACCGGAGGGTGGGCACGGCGCCATGGACTGTAGCGTTGTATGATTGGGCAAGGTTGGTTTTTGCTGGTCCATTGCAAGAGGCCGTGGTATGCAGAGCTGCTGCTGCTGCCTTCCTTGTCATGGCATTCCTAGATGTTCCTTCCTGCTCGTTGCCTGGTGGGCCAAATGCCCCATGCCACATTTGTTGGCGCGTTAAGGGTGACTATTAAGGGTCTCCATATGATCAACTCAAGCCACTGTGTCATTTCGGTTCGATGTCACGTCGTCATTTTCGCGGTGGATTATTAATTGGTTAGTGTCCTATCAATCACCTGTAGATTCTTCAAAGTTGTTGAGTTTCTCTCCTTTTTCTGTTCAGATTTAGGATCATTCCTTCTGTTGGAAGATTGGAAAATATTTTTTTTTAGGAAAGATTGGAAATTATTTTAGTACTGTCATCACAATTCGAGGATGCGGGAGTTTATGCTCACAAGTCGCAACGAGCTGGTGAGAGTGACACGTACGCCGTACTCTGAATATGGCAAGAGGCAATCCCCACAATTACTAGCACAACTGTTTTTATTCTTGCAGAAGCAGGGACAGTTGCATGCTTGCTGTAAACTCCCGTTTTAGATTTCTGAAGAGCAACGTTTGGTTCCGGACTGGAAAATGGGAGATTCCTCAGAAATCTCCTGCTGTAAACTCATGTTCTATATACACATGTAATCCAGCAAGGCATTCTTCTGTGCTAGGTCTACATAGTCCTGTTCGTTTAGTTAAAATTTGGCTTATGCTGATTTGTTACGAGAAAAAAACGCTGTCGAGAAGTACCGCCAGTTGTGATACGCCCAGGGATGAAAACGGTACGGATATTTTCCGACCGTATTCGAAACCGAATCCGTTTAGAGGGGTTGAGATATGTTCGTATCCGAGTCCGGATATCCAACATCCGATACCGTATCCGTATCCGAATACTGAAATCGCATATTTATTATGTCGATATCCAATCGTATCCTATCCGACATAGTTGACACTATCCGTATTCGAATCCGAATCCAGACAGAAATATAAAAACAAATGTAATATCGATGATATCCGTCACTATCCGATCCGTTTTCATCCCTAATACGCTGGTCGTAACTGTACGATTAAAGTAGGACGCCCACCCGGTGCGCTGGATTCGGTTCCAGGCAGGCTCCCAGGCCCAGGCTTCCAGCAGAAGAAGAGAAGAGACCTGTCTATCCATCCACACGCAAAAAGGAGCGAACAGGACCCGGCAAGCGGCAGGCAAGTCACACGCGGCAGGCAAGTCACACGCGCAGCTGAGGCGACAGGCAGCTTGGTGATCCGTGGCCCGTGGCCCGTGGGGATCCACGGACGCTGGGAGCCGTTGTGGACTCACAGCGCGCCGGGAACTTGACAGTGTTTTTTCTGACTCTCCGAAAAAACACAGTTTTTACGCTTGCGTACGAGCGTGGCCAGGAGCACTCCAGACTTTCAGAGAGTCAGAACAAGTGTTTCAGAGGATTGAGGTCCCGGGACCCGGGAGCTGCACAGTTGCTGCTTGTCAGTCATCTGTGCATCTCGTTACAGAAGGGCATGATGTGTTGCTACAGTTGCTTCTTAACCTTCGCAACGTGGTTTCAGGGTTGGTACAGGGTACAGGGATGCATATGACTGGACGAAATTGTTAGGAGCTGCCAACAACAAATGCGTACTCCTAGGCAAGAAAGATCATGTGGAGCCCGTATCTGCTTCCCTAGAATGTGTACGAGATACCATAAGGGCCCAATATCTCAATAGCACTTGTCTAAAGCTTCGAATGAGACTGAATATCCGAAACGCAGGAACGATCTGACTAGAAAGTCATTCAAAACTTGATCGAAGAACCAGCGTTTATTGAAGAAGCTATAGAGTCGATTACAAAAGGTACTAGTTTGAAAGGCTCGTTGGAATTGATCCGCTACGAGATTGACATTATACGCTAGAAGAAGCACCAAGTACTAAATGAATAGGTATTAGTTTTGTAATGGTTGAAGCAACAAACTCGGATTCGGCAAGAATCTCATTTTTGGTAGTACTGAAAGGAATTGGCCCAAAAATTGGATAGGGGTAAAGACACAGCCGGGTGCCGGCGGCTTATTCAAGTGCCCCCCGAACTGCGCGAAATGGTCGCCTATTACACGGCTCACAAACTCTGCCTGGGGTGGGGGATAAGTTTTTTTTCTCTCGATCCGACATCTTACCCGTATTTCATTAAGAGGAAGATTTGGAAGTCATACAAACGAACAGACCTAGAACGCGTACGCGGGCGAGGGGCCAGCACACAACCACCAGGGGCAGCCCTAAACTACCAGGTTTACATTGATCGATTACATATTTATCTTTTGTCGCGACCACAATGGGCAAAGTGCCGCTAAAGAGAGACGACGTAGAAACTATGTTTCTAGGCGGCTCGAACGGGCCGGCGAGCCCGCTGCTTCATGCCCGGGAAGAGCACCTCCGTGGCTTCCCTGGTCGTCGGCGAAAGCAGGAGCTTGAACGCCATCTGAACTTGTCAAACGAGGCCTCGTCGGGCAGCTGCATCTCCACTTCGACACCAATGCGTCTCATCATTACCTTGCGTGCATGTGCCTTCTTGACCGCAAACCTCGTTTCTGTCTTTGCGGCGAGGCGCGCTTCTCTTCGGGATCTCGATCACGGCGAAGCCGCCAGCGCTTCTTCGCCTGCCGTGTCACATGAGCACGCCGCGGCGCGCTGGAGAGTAGTGGCTGCGCGGCAGTCTTCTTGAAGACGTTGATGAACCCATCGGCCGCCAACGCCTCGGTTCCTCACTTCCCCGGCGACAACGGGCGGTCGCATCGGCCGTTCACCGTCCGGCACGCCCAGAAGTCATGGGCCACGGGTGTTGTGCGTACCACGCGACGGCGAAGTCAGGGCCCGAGATGTACTCCTCCGGCCAGAGGTAAAGATCCACCTCATGAGCCGCCTACCGGAGAAAGTCACATCCGCACAAAGAGTCCCGAGCACCAAACGTAAAAGTCCACCCCATCACCGCCCCATCCGGAACGAAGGCATTGTGGCCCGAGAGCGGCTCCATTTCCAAACATAGGGCGGACCCCATGAATCCGCGATGATGGGAGCACGACGAGCGCACGCCGCGCGAATAGAGGTCGACAGAGTGGGCGTCCGTGGCGCGGTCGCGTCCGCTGACAGCTTTCCGGGGCGTGCACAGCAGCGCCTCGACGAGCATAGGGTCCTCGACTGGCGACCTGACAGGAGAGGGTGAGCAACGAGGCGAGAGGGAGGAGTCAACTTCCTCCACGACGCCCGCGTCGACAGGCGTCCTCAGCATGGCGGGTTTCACGCTGATGCTCCCACCACCAGGCATGGCGCCGCGCGGCACCTGGAAAGGGCAAGTCACATCACCAATGATAACTGACTACCTCGACTGACGTGCCTGAAAGGCCGGCCCCGACCCAGGCCCAAGCCGTGGCTCATCGGCGCCGCCGAACCTAGTTGTCCACGGCCTTGCGCCGCCGCCGCCCCTGGTGGCGAAGCCTGGATGGTAGCCGTTGAAATTACTATCACCACTGTCATCACTGCCATCGGCACCCATCCACTCATCCCACGACGTTGGCGGGGTATGCCAATCCTGAAACTCGATGATCCGCAGGCGAACAAGGTATCTGAGAGCTGGGACCTCGTCGTGGATGATTTCGTGGGGCCTGAGGTACAACAGTGAGCCGCCATCGTGCTCCTCCTCCAGCTCCGGCACCGCCATAATCATCTCATCCGGCACAAGATCGGGATGAGCACACCAGGCTGCCACGAAAAGTTCGCGCTCGTCGTCCGGATCGGCCAAAGCGTCGAAGTTGGCAATATCCACCTTGGCACTGGAGGAACCCAAGATGTCCTGCGCCGTCGCCGTAGACCTTGCATGGGAGGGGATGCCCTTCATCCCGACGAGGACACGATAACGGAATGCGCCTGCTGAGCCCATGATTAGGCGGCTCCACCTTCGCCACCAAAGCGCGAAGGGAGCACCCACCGGCAATGGGGTGCGCAGCACCAGCTCGAGGTCTTCATGATTGGTGAACCGAACGATGAAATCATCCGGTCTAGTCCACCGCACCGAGACACGATCGTCTGTAATACCGAAGTGTTCGCGGAGGTGGTCGAGCATCATCGCCGGGGAGACTGCCGGTCGAGTGCCCACAACAAGGGCCAGCAAGGCAAGCGCCAAGGCGTCTTTCGCCGCCTGTAGCTTCGGTGTCCGGGGCACCAAAACGAGTTGCAGTAACGGCGTCGTGGCCCGCGTCCTGGGCGACGCCGGAGGCGCCTGCACACGGCGGAGAAGTGAGCGCGGGACGCCACGCTGGCGCTCCGACGAGTCAGGCGGCGGGTTGCCATCCCCGCCAGCCACCGCGCCAACCGCATCGTCGACGTCCGCCACGAGGCCCTGCTGCGGCGGAGCGGACGGCTCCCCACCCACAGGCTCATCAACCACTGGCTCCGGGGACGGAGGTGTTAGTTGATCTCCACCAATAGGTCCAACGGCCTATTGGGCCCTTATCTCTGCTCCCTGATTGGGGGAGCCCAACCCTAATCCGGTTGGTGGGCCCCTATCGTACAGCACACATAAAAGGAAGGTGGCGATGAGGGCTTGGACTACGAGGTTGAACGGAGCCGCCACCCACCTACAGAGAAAACCCTAATCCGATCCTAAAGTGTGCTACCAGCGACGAGATGTGCCCCGCCACCGCCGTCGTTCCCCTGCAGGTCTACACCGGACCGCCGTCTCGCCACCGAGCCGGAGCTGCCCCTACACAGACGTCTACGCTGTTGCTGTGCCGCAACAGTGAAAGGCGAGAAGGGTCTTTCCTGGATCTACAGGTTACACACACAGGTACTAATCATCGATCCTAACAATGGTACCAGAGCTAGGTTGCCTCTGTGTAACCCTAACCCTAACCGGGTAAAAGAAAAGAGAAGTAAGACCGGGGTGGCGGACGTCACTGACTACCGGTCACCACCGCCACCGCGCGGGGAAAAGTGCCACACCGCCGTCCTCACCGGCGTGCGGCAAGAAAACAAGAGAAGAACATCCGTGTTCGGATTAGAGAATAGAAAGGGGAAAGGATCTCAAGAACCCTAACCCTAACCCGCGCAAATAGCTCGGGGAAGAAGAAAAAGAAGGCACTGGAACCCTAACCCTAACTGGGTTAAAGAAAGGAGGAAAAGAAAAGGTTTCGGCCATAAGATGAACAGAGCCGAACCCTAAATCAGAAAAGAAATCAAAGAAAAGAAAATAAATCCAAATAAATCCAAATCGGACTCAACCGAAAAGAGAAACAAGATCCAAAAGAAAAGAAGAGGGTTTTCGGCCTAGAAAAGAGTTAAATCCCGAAACCCTAACCCAAATTTTTAACCCCATCCCAAATCGGGTTAATCCCAAAAGAAGAAGGGTAAGGGGGAAGAAAGGGAAGGGAACCGATTCGGATGAACTCTGAAAAGAAAAAGAAATCAAAAGAAAAAGTGCACCGCGCTGCCGACATCGCCGTCGCGCGGGAAAAGAAGCCGAGCCGGGGGAGCTGCCTCATCGGGCTCGGCCAAGGAAGCGCCATGGCCAGGCCGCTCGACGGCGGCGTGCTCACCCGTTGGGGAGCACGCGCGCTGGCGAGGGGGCCGACGACGATGCCATGGCCGCTCCACCGTCGTCGCTCTCGCTTCGCTCGCTCTCGGTCGCTGTTGCGCTGCGCTGAGAAGAGATGAGGTAGAGAGAGGAGAGAGCGGCGAAGAAGAGAGAGAGAGCAAAGGGAGCAAATGGACTAGGGTTTGGAGGGCGCGGCCGCGGGCGGGGTTTTGTTCTCCCTATCCGCGCGCGCGACCGTCCGATCAGAACCAACGGCGCCAGATGCATGGGCCAACTCGCAGCCCAGGCGGGAGCGCGCGGCAGCGCCACTTTGCCGGCCCAGGCCCAGGTTGTGGCCTGGGTGCGGCCTGCGCGCGCGCGGTGAGCTGGGCCAAGCTGGCTTTTATCGGTTTTTTTTGGGCCGACAGAGGCAGATTGAGCCCAAGATCAAAGAAAAGTGAGAATTTGAATCAGTTTCGTTTTTTCATTTTCTAGTAAATATTTTATTTTTTGGAAAATGAATAAATGACTTAAAGAAAATATGAAAAAGTAATTTTTCTCTGTGGGTAAAATTCAAGAAATTGAGTATACGTTTTCCGCTGCTAAATAAATAGTATATTCTCCAGTGATTTTGAACCGACGTGATATTTAACTGGAGAAAAAGAAAGGTTTTACAGTAAAGGTTTATTTCCTGAAAATTGATTAATGGATTAAGGAAATAGAAAAAACAATTTTCCATGTGGGTAAAAATTCAAGAAAAAGAGAGTTTTTCCACAGCCAAAGAAAAGTTGTTGATTCTCCAGTTATTTTGAACCAATGTGGTATTTAATTGGAGAAAAAAGAGATTTGACATGATTATGATGTTGTTATTTTCTGACCAACGTTGTTAATAACAATATAATAATTTTAATGATTTATGCATTAATTCTACTTCTGTCCAACGGTGATGTAGATTTAGTGTATAAAAAAGTTGATAATTTTATTGATTTATGCATTAATTCTATTTCTGCCCAACGGTGATGTAGAATTAGTGTGTAAGAACAATTGTGAAAGTTAATGATTTATGTATTAATTCTATTTCTGCCCAACGATGATGTAGAATTAGTGTATAAGAATAGTTGTATGTTTTGATTTTGACCAACGTTGGAATCAAGGCACGCAAATTGTGTTATTTATATGTTAAGAAAAAGTTTGACCTGGTTTTTATCTTGACTGATGGGACTAGGTAGTCACCTCACCGTGTTCCACTGAGATTATGGCACCGGTGAGGGAGACAAAAGAGAATGATACCACTTGGGCAACTAAAGAAAGGGATTTTGAATCCCAAAAGATGTCCTATGGCTTTGGAGCATAGGAAGTGGGTCACTGCAAACAAGAATTATTTGGCTGTGATAAAGAACATGATTGAACCTACAATTGTGGGTTCAATCCTAGAGTGTGACACGGCCACCGAGTACCTCGATAAAATAAAGAGTCAGTTCACTGGCTCTTCAAAGACATATGCTACCCAGCTGATAAAACAGCTGGTGATAGAGTGTTACTCTGATAAAAGAATGGCATAAGAGAGCTCACGATGCGTCGTCGAAATTATGGCACTTTCGTTTAGGCCATATTTCGAGGGGGAGAAAAGAAAGATAAGTTAAGAATGATATTCTTTCTTCATTAGAGCTCTCAGAATGCATAAAAGGAAAGTATGTAAAGAAAGATGACAAACGAAGCGCAGGAATTTTACAGATTATTCACACAGACACCTGTGGTCAGCTTTCCTGTAAGAGTGTGGATGATTATGATTCGTTCATAACATCCACAGATGATTACTCCCATTATGGCTATATTTATCCAATCAAAGAAAGAAAAGATGTATTGGATAAATTTAAGATATTTAGATTGAGATAGTCAGGTCTGACCGTGGAGAAGTACTACGGTCAGCATACCCTAAAAGAATGGCATAGTAGCCCAGTATTCTACACCGGGTGAATCTCAGCAGAATAGAGTAGCTAAAAGAATCAATCGTACCCTGATGGATATGGTGGGCAGTATGATAAGTTACTCCACCTTACAGTTGAGCCTGTGAATGGAGGCATTAAAACCGTCATTCATATTCTCAATAGAGTATCAAGAAAGTCGGTGCCCAAAACACCGTATGAGTTGTGGACAGAAAGAGTACCCTCACTAAACCACTTGCGTATGTGGGGGAGAGCCCTGCTAAGGCTAAAGTATTTAATCCAAACATTAGAAAGCTAGATCCCAAAACAGTAAGTTGTCATTTTATTGGCTACCCAGAAAAGTCAAAAGGTTTTCGTTTCTACTGTCTAGAGAGACATACAAAGTTTGTGGAAACGAGACACGCTGTCTTCGTAGAGGATGAATTGATGAGGGGGAGCATGGTAGCTCGAGAAATTGACCTTGAAGTGAAGTGGGTGTATGCACCCAGTCTAATGATTCATGAGCCAATTTTCTCACTACCTGCTGTCGCTGCACCGACAGTGCTAGATAATATGGTGCCAGCACCTGTTGTTATTCCACCTGTGGCAACAATGAATGACGATGAGGAACATGTTCTTCAGGATCCTAAAGAACCTATTGCCACACATGAGGGGGAGCAACAACAGCCTCAAACAAAAGATGTGCCAAATGTGAAGGCCCCTAGAAGGTCTCAAATAGTTAGAAAATCAGTTATTCTCATTGATTGTGAAGTGTACAACATCGAGCAATTTCAAGTAGAAGATGATCCCACCTCATTTGAAGAAGACATGAGAAGTGATCATTCATCAAAGTGGCTTGAGGCCATAGAAGATAAAATAAAATCGATGAATGCCAATAAAGTTTGGGATTGGAAAATAATTCCTAAAGGAGCCAAAATAGTAGGCTGTAAATAGGTCTACAAAACAAAACTTGACTCTCAAGGGAATATAGAGAAATATAAAATACGATTTGTGGCAAAAGGTTATATGCAAAGAGAAGGGATTGATTACAATGAGACATTTTCTCCAGTCTCATGTAAAGTTTTCTTCAGAATCATAATGGCATTAGTGGCACATTACGATTGAGAATTACATCAGATAGATGTAAAGACAACATTTCTCAACGGAGACTTGGAGGAAAATGTTTACATGGCACAACCGAAAGATTTTGTCATGGAAGGAAAAGAACGAATGGAATGCCGCCTAAAGAAATCCATTTATAGATTAAAACAAGCTTCAAGACAGTGGTACTTGAAGTTTGATCAGACAATAAAGGATTTTGGGTTTTAAAGAGAATATAGAGGACAATTGTGTCTATATAAAGTAAAAAGAATGTAGAGGACAATTGTGTCAATACAAAGTTTAAGAATGGGAAGTTTATCTTCCTTGTCCTGTATGTAGATGATATCTTACTTGCTAGTAGTGATGTCAGTCTACTACTGGAGACAAAGAAATTTGATATGAAAGATCTTGGCGAAGTCTCGTTCGTTTTAGGGATCGAGATTCACCGAGATAGAAGAAAAAGGGTATAAGGACTATCATAAAAGGCATACATGAAAAAAATCTTTAAAAAAATTAGTATGCACAAAT